TAGCTTCTCAGGTAACTGTCCAGGTAGACCTGTGTGACTATAGCTTCTCAGGTAACTGTCCAGGTAGACCTGTGTGACTAGAGCTTCCAGACAGACCTGCAGCAGAAGATGTTTCATGAACTCTTTCTGTTCAGGAGTGACTCAGCTCCGTATCCACCAGCGGACTCACACCTTCCGCTCGTACCAGTGCGACCAGTGCAGTAAGACGTATGGCTCCCTGACCGGCCTTCACTCCCACCGGGCGAGCCACAGCGCCGACAGCCGCTTCCTGTGTCCGCAGTGCGGCAAACGCTTCAAGACCCGCGACGGCCTGGAGGGTCACCTGAGGACACACACCGGTGAGCGGCCCTACCGCTGCCCCTACTGCCCCAAAGACTTCACTGCACTTGCCGGCCTCAATGTGCACGTGCGGCGGCACACAGGCGAGCGGCCGTACGTGTGCACAGTGTGCGGTAAAGGCTGGCCGTCTGGAGGCGACCTGCAGAAACACATGCGGACTCACACGGGTGAACGGCCGTACGTCTGCCAGGACTGTGGAAAGGCTTTTTCCATCTCTTGCCACCTGACGGAGCACCGCCGGATCCACACCGGTGAGTAGGGATGGTACCGAGCCCCGGGGCAAACTTCTTAATACCAGAGGATGGATAAGCTCCGACACTCACGGTTCTGCTAGCGATATGTTCGACGGTAGTCAGAACTTTGTGGTGTACATCCCATCTCATCACGTCTGATGTGTCTGTGACGCACTATTGGTTTCTGAATCCAGACCAGAGTTCTGTCTGTCGGAGCTGCAGGTTCTGCCAGACAGAAGTCCTGGTGTGTGGGGACGGAGCATCTGCATCACTCACCTGCAGCTCTGCTGCAACACAGGTGGCAGACGAGTTGATGCAGGAAATGTTTGTTGCCACAAAAGTAACGAGTCGTTCACACACGATCAAACCGTCATCACGTCCAGACGGAAGAATGTCAGACAGCTGAGCTTGTAGTAACCAGGTTCTGTTCACTAAGTAACCAGGTTTGGTTAACTAGCAGCCATGTTATGTTCACTAAGTAACCAGGTTAGGTTAACTAGTAACTAGGTTAGGTTAACTAGCAGCCAGGTTATGTTAACTAGCAGTCTGAACACAGTTAACTAAACAGATGTAGTGACTCATCATTTACAGCCCAGTTACGAGCAACCAAACCTTTGATTGACTGGTTTCTGAGGATGTTGACTCTGTACTTGAAGTGGAGGCCTCCATCTCTGTAGGCTGGGACCTCTTTCATTTAAGAGATCAAAGGGTTATTCTGCACTTGTTAAATGTATTGTATTCTGAGGGTTGTGTTTCCTCTAATCTGAAGTAAAGGCCTCATTGTTTTGCCTGGGCCTGCTAGTATATGTGCTACCAGAGCTGGCTGCACTCACTTCAACATCCTGCTCTGAAACTGACTACGTGCTGTTGAAACCATGGACATGTGGCCACAGGGGAAGGCTGTAGGACACGAACTGGACCTGGGTTCGGACCTTTAATATATAGTAATGACCTAATAACTGGACCTCCGTGACTCTTAATTGGACACCCCTGGTCTAAACCTTCCATCAGGATCTCAGGTCCACTTTGGGAGCAGAGCAGCAGCATTCAGTGACTTCAGGCTGCAGACTGACTGACTGTTGGTGCCAGAAGAACTGTTCTCTTCACTAAACTATTAAACACAGTGTGCATGATAAAGAGTGAAGGAGGTTTATAGCCCAGTGGCTGACATGTACTGATGTCTGTTCAAGGTGGAGCTTTAGTTCTGACAGAAGCTGACAGTTTAATGAAACACTGAACCGTTAACGTACCAAACCCGCTGAATGTTAGTGACGCCGTCCCTAGTCGTGAGGCCGGACTGGAAACATCCTGGTTCATGGTGCAAGCTACAGAGGTGTGACGTCTGCGTTGTGGTCCTTGTCCGACTCTCAGGTCACTTTTTCTCTGAACTTCTCTGTTTTCCAGGCGAAAAGCCGTTTTCGTGTCCGGAATGCGGTAAATGTTTACGGAGGAAGTTCGACTTGAAGAAGCACATGTTGTCCCACAGCAACGTCCGGCCGTATGGCTGCAGCTACTGTCCCAAGAGCTACACCCGCAAAACTCACCTGAACAGACACCTGCTGACTCACAGGACTGCAGACAGCGAGGTGGACCCGGCCGAGCAGGCCTGACCTCCAGCTCACCGTCACCCTGTTCCTGACAGAACGAGGCTTCATGTCTCATCCTGGACCATGGCTCAGAGTCCAGGATGCCGTTTGAGGAGAAACTATTGAAAGCGGCGCTGCAGCATCGATGTGGATCAAGTTCACTGTGAAAGTTCAACCACAGTTTATATTCTGGTATCATTACAAACGGAAAAAAGAAAATTTGAGTTACATATTGAATTAACTGTTTAAAGCCAGTTTCATAGCTGGATGTTGAATTCTGACAAATCCAAAGTAAAATGAGAGCGGCACGAATATGAATTCAAGGTTGTTTAGCTGTAACAACACAACGTGTCAACATGTCTGAAATATCTAAATAAAATATGAGAAATAAACTAAAATGTAGAAGAAATCCTGAGAAGTCATCAAAAAGTAATAGAAGAATATTATCAGCACTCAAAGTTAATGAACAAAATGTGTGAGAATGTGTTAAAATCACAGAGCTGAATTGAAGTTTTAGAAAATGTTCATGAAATGTCCAAAAATATTGATCAGATATTGGAATGTGTTAGTTGCTGCACTAATGCAGTAAAGCGGGACTGATGGACGTGTTTCACTGAACTCGAGCTCTTGGAGTAGGGTTAACCCTAACCCTAACCCTGGAGTAGGACTAACCCTAAATCTAACCCTG